TATAAATAAAAAATTAATTATATAAAAATATATGTTATAAATTTATAATGTTATATAATATTATAATTATAATATTTTTATAAAGCCAATAATTTAAGTAATTTATTGATTATCTTTTTAGTCTTTTCGTTGAAAATAAAATATTTTAAATTCGAATCTCATGATATACGGGTGAGGTATGATCACGAATAAGAGATTATTGTCTTCTATTATATAATTAAAATAAAAAAAATATTTTTATAAAAATTAAAAAATTATAATAAAATACAACTATATCAAATCACATAACTTAAAATTAAATTATCCTCTATTTAACAAATTTTAGTTTTTTTTTAACCCAATTCAATCTATCTATCAAAAAACAATTTTTAAAAAATATGAATAACCTTATTAATTTTCGAATAGAAAGAGGTAGATTTTTTTTAATAAAATTTTGATTTTGATCTTATAAATAAAAAAATATATGTTAAGAGTGATTTAATTTTAAATTAATTAAATCTAATTCGATTTTTTTGGATACTGAAACCTAATAAAAAATAAAAATAAAATTCTTAAAAAGTTTTTGCCCACGATATCCGAAAACCAAATTAAAGAATTTCGATTACAATTACTCCTCTTATTTCTCTGCCTCGCCCTCTAAACAAAGAGGTATGTATGTCTTCAATCTCTCTTCACAGATTTTATTTTTCTGTTTCTGTTTCCAAAAAAGTAATTTTTTTTGTCCCCCAAATATCCAAAGTGACTTTATTTTTCATGAATTTAATTTATTAAATTAGTAATTCATCCTTTTCACAGAGTAGAAGACTAATTCACCCTAATTCGAAACCCTAATTTGCTCTCGTTTTCTCTTCAACGGCTCAGTTCGTTTGAACTTTATCTCTCTCTCTCTCTCTCTCGGTGGATTTCTCAACTCGTTTCTTTGATTTTATTTTTCGCCCTTTTTTCTTGAAGTAAGAAGTTGTTCAAAATTTTTTTTTTTTTTGATGAAAATGAGTAGTCCATTAGCTTTACTTGAATATGTGATGAAAAATTTGGTTGTTTTCTTGGATGTAAAAGAAAATGTGTTTGGAAAAAGTGGGATTTTCATGTAGTTTGGATTCTTTGAAGAGACTCAGGAATTGCTTATGGAATAGTGATAAATTTTCAATTTTATGGTAAAAAAAAAGAACCTTCAGCGATTTTTTTTTTTTTTATAAAAAAATTAGTTATTTAATTTAACAGGGTTTTTGTTTTGTGGAAAAAAAATTATGAAGCTTGAATTAAAATTGATTGAAATGTAGGATTAGGAAAGAATGGAGTCTTTAGATATCTATGGTGCTTGTGACAGCTTTAGGGTTTGTAATTTTTCTCACTTCTGATTATATATGAATAGAATGGCATTGATTGCAGTGCACTGTTGCAGGAATCGTAGTGGCTGAAAATGGAATCTATGGAGATTGATGATATTAATGAAAGTAATGGAAGTGTGCCTAGGGAAAGGGAAAATGGTTTTAAACTTTTTCCGGTTTCGCCTGAGGAGTCTGGAGAAGGTTTGCCATATGCTCCGGTGGATTTTCCTCAGCGTGGGGATGTTTGGAGATGGAAGGTGGGAAGGAGAGTTGCTCTTAATGGCCATTATTTGGATAGATACCTATATCTTCCCAGACGTCTTCGCAAGATTGAGGTTCCCGCACGTTCGAAAAGTGCGTTTGCTAGCAAACTTTCAGTTGAACGGTATATCCGAACAGCACATCCTGAGGCAGATGTAGATGCATTTTTTGCTTCGTTTAGCTGGAAGATCCCTGCAAAGAAACTATCATTGATAAATGGTCAGCTTCAATTTACTTCTTTGTTCCTCACACTGTACTCTTGCGTGTCTAACTTTCATAATTTTAGATTGCTAGATCTGTGTAGTAACTATTACATCTTTTCTATGAATAAAGAACGTAATTCTTCTTTTATGTCTATTAAATGATGCTCTTATATACTTCTGCTCCAGAAAATGATGAAGCCTCTATTTGGCTATTTTGACATGCTAATTTACCAATTGAAACTATGCTTGTCTAATTTCAACTTGCATTAATGCTTTAAGGTATTGTTGACTGAAGTCTTGAGGCCACATCATAATTAACAGCCTGTTCCAGTGAAGCTAAATTTATAATGAAACCTTTTCAAATAAATAAATAAATAAATAATAAAAAGAAAAAAAAGAAGAGGTCACTGCTCTAACATGTTTGGTTGATTTAGTCCTGAGGTGATATTTATTTTCCATAATGGATATGTGAATTTATTCTTAGTTTCGGTTATAACATCAGAACTACGACTTTTGGGTTAATACCATTCTGAAGCATTTTTCTCACAATAACTAGAATGAGATCAGACATTGTAACTAGTTCATTGTGGATGTTGAGACTCATCCAGCTAATTTGTTTTCTTTATCCTACGATATTACTTTCTTATGGATGGTGCAGCAGCAGATGCCTTCGTTCGTGAACACTCTGAGGAGACAGAACATTCCATGTCTGACCCCCACTCTGATGGTGTGGCTTGTAAGGCTGGAAATAAGAAGTGCACCAGTTTACTAGTCAAAGCAGAGAATGGAACTTTAGCTCCACTTCCTTGTGATATTTGCTGCAGTGAACCTCGCTTCTGCCGTGACTGCTGCTGTATTCTCTGTTCCAGAACTATTAGCTTGAACCATGGAGGCTATAGCTACTTTAAATGTGAAGCAGTGGTGAATGATGGTTTTATGTGTGGCCATGTTGCCCATGTGAACTGTGCTCTTAGATCCTATTTGGCTGGGACAATTGGAGGTAGCATTGGATTGGATGCAGAGTACTATTGCCGACGTTGTGATTCAAGGACAGACCTGGTTTCGCATGTGACAACCCTTTTACAAACTTGTCAGTCCATAGATTCTCAAGATGAAATTGATAGGATTCTAAGTGTTGGTGTCTGTATTTTACGAGGCTCAGAGAAAACAAATGCA